TCCCCCGGTCCCCCACCGCCCGTAATAGGCGTTTAACCGTAAGTTTGGTTTTGTTTTTTGTTTTTGCAAAACTTTTTTGTTTTATTGTTTTTGTGTTTAATTTATTTTGAAAAACTTGTTTTGGCGTCAAATCAAAGCAAATGTTTGTTTTAAAAGTTTTTAATTAAAACTATTTTTACACAAAAGTATTGTAAAAGTAAATGTGATTTAATTACACGTTTATTACACATGTATTTTACATGCATTTTTCATTCAGACATTAATTAGACGTTTGGTTGCATTAATCCGTTAATGACTATAAAGGCCTTCAAATGGCATAACAAATACAGCTATTATTACAGCATTAATACCACAGACACTACACATACACTACATATACAGTAGGATATACTGTACGTGTGTTTTATCATGATTTATATCGCCATCAGATGATCTCATTGATGGTAACCAATGGTAGCCAATGATTATGTCATACATGGTTTACCAGTAAATATACAGCAATATTGATAGGCAGGGGTGTGTGTGAAAAAACTTGTGGTCACTTTACTATAGGGGGTGTATTATTAGTCCGGGGGGTCTTTTAGACACCCCATACATACATAGTGTACGACAAATGCTGTTTATTATAGCCTAAAAATAGCCATTCATTCAGTAATAAAGTCACAGAATATTCTGTGTGTTATTCTTAACCATAATATATATAATATACATGTGTTTTGCGATATTAAACGTGATTTAATATTAACTATAATTTGGATTTTAATTGTCATTATATTTATGGACTGAAAACAATCGGATGATAATCATGTGTCCGCCCGTTGGCCACCGCCGCCGTCGTCCACCGCACCCGCCCTTCGCTATCGTCATCAGTGGTCACCACACCTATGGAGGGCAACAACGACTCCGACGACCCGCACCATCGACTAACCCGTCCGTCACCGCCGCCGCCACCAGCGGCTGAAGACACAGTCGACTCGTCCGACACTGACACCAGTGATCGCCGTCAACGACAGCGACAGACGCCGGCGGCCGGCAATCGCGGCCTCTTCCGTAACCTCACGAACCGTATCCGCACGGCTGCCCACTTGTCGCGCGCCCGTCGAGCGGATCAGATAACAGAGGCCACACTCGGTCTGGTGATGGACGAGCACGAGCTGTACAACCACCACATATGCCCAGTGCTCTCAAGGGTATCACCAGAAAAACTACTTCATGTTTGAGTTTGTTATCATATTTCGCATTTCAAAACATGTATTGAAAATCATATGAACGCCAAATGTGTTTCTCTTTCTCTCCACAACTGATATCTCAATTAAATCTGTAAATCATATGAATATTTATGTTATAAAAAATCAAAAAAGTTTTTTGTTTCCAAATCACAAATCAATAGCCAATTAATGTAATAAAACAAAAAAGTTTATATGTATTGGAAGTGTCGTGTGTCGAGTGACAGGAAACTAATGTTACGATAATATTGTAATTTTTGTTGTTAATAATAATAACATAATATTTAAATTCCCAATTAATAATATCATATTACAGTATAATTGTAGTGTACGGTGCGATACTACAGTATAAAGTAATTTAAACTGCATAGCATAACGTTAAAATAGTGGTATCAAAATACGCTACATTAAAATACCTACGATTACCACTATTAAAAAAAACTATTTTAATTAGGCATTTGAATTCATCATCATTAATATTAACGTAGCAACAAAAATACAACTCTCATTCAAACAATGTATCCGAAATCCAGCGCTTCTTCACACGAGGTAATCAAATATCTTATTATAAAAAATAAGTAAAACTTAAAAATGTAATTAAAAACCCACTTATAATTCAATACCAAAAAACTCAACACAATATCCAACACAACAGCTCAAGAAGGAGCTAACGTACGACCAATCGGTGGACAGCACTCACACCAGACAACCCATGAAGGACTTTACCGTGTCGTTCAAGAAGTCGGCGGCCGACACGATGGGCGCACTGCAGCTGATCCCAGTGCAGACCATAGCGCGCACCAGACAGTGGCTCGACTGGAAGCGGTTGGCGATAGTGGGCACAGCGCTAGTGGTGGCCACAGCTCTACTCGTGTTCCTACTGGTGCCCCGACATCGGGACACACACCACGACCAGGACTTGGTCTCAGCGTCACAGCACTCGTACTCCGAGAGTCGGGACAATCCCATACAGGCGTTGGGACTCATCGAAGAGACCACAACTACCCGCACAACCACTACAACGACAACTATCGCGCCGGAGGTCACCACACGGCGAGTGCTCGACTACATACTGGCCTCGATTATCGTCAACAACGCCACTGTCCCGCAGATGGACAAGACTTTGTTCTCGAAGAGAGCGGACGCATACGTGGATCTATACGTGATTACCGGCGCTCAGCACCAGAAGATCGGTCGCTCCAAAGTGGACCACAACACGATGGCCCCGAAGTGGAACTACCTGTTCGAGCACCGGCTCCGGGTGGCGCCCGAAGCCATACTGCAGTTCGAGCTCTTCGACTCGGATAAGTTTAATATGGATGAACTCATCGGTCGGCTGTATATCCCGATGCGAGACATCATCGCCGACGAGAGCCTCAACGGCCAGATTGTGGGCCACGACTACGACAGGGGCCGACTCTGGTATACCGTTCACTGGGAACCCATCTATAGATACGAGTAAAGCGCTCCGGGAGTTGTGTCTCGATATACATATATTTTATGCCTCTTAAAGAGTTCTTTGTTTTTCATTTGCATTTTGTATAAATAGTATTGTATTATGTTTTTAAACGCCCACTAATTAAATAAAGCCTTATTTTATAACCATTTTAAACGACCAAAAGTGTACCCAAAAAACCCGATGATAACCACAAACAAACAAAAAATGGCGCACAAACCTACTATCTCGGAGGTAGGCGTGAGGAATAGGGTGAAAAACGCTCGATGAAACGCCTGGCGAAACATCTTAAGGCTGAGCGGCTCGTCGGGGTAGAGCACGGCCTGTATGACCACACCTGAGCTACAAATCACCAACAGTGCCATACGCATGAAGTTGACAAAATCGACCGTGATCATCAACTTGAGCCGATACAATAGGGGGCCCAGTGTTGGACTGATGGGCAGGTGTACGGCGAACAGGCGGTAGTAGAAGTAGATGAGTGCGAACGATAGCATCACTTTCATGGTGTAGTAGCCGAATATGCGGCGGTCAAACACGCGGCCGGAGGCGTAGATCACCACGAATACGATGATGGCCACGATCTCCATGCACTTGAATACGATGGGCACCGACGTGTACTTGCGGTACAGTACGAATGTGCGCCGGATGTGCTCCAGAAGTATGAGAGCTGTGCAATGATTGGTGAAATTAATTAGTATTATTAATAGCTAACCCAAGTGTCACCCCCTGTTTAATAGGGGTGACCACCTATGTGTATACATACCAGTCCACGCGCATACAGTCGAGTCCAGGTAGTAGTTCCCGCACGAGGGCCACACCAGCGCCAAACTGAACAACACTGTAATAATAATAGTTTAGTCAATAGGGTTTATCACCAATCAGTTCCAGAGGTGGTTTCAGGCAAACAGACCTAAGAATATGATGTAAAACAAGTTAAACATCCAGAACTTGGTAATCGGCGCGTTCCACATGTCGTAGATCATTGTGAAGAGCGGCGGCTGTTTGCGGATCAATAGCTCGCGGTGTTTGATCACTGTCTGGTAGTGACGGCTCTGTTTGGCCAACTCTTCGCCCGTTTTATTCAATAGATCGCCGGCCTCTTCGAAGGCATCACCGACTGGACCCGGAATGAAAGTACCCACAAAGCCTACGCTGGGTTTCTGGCCATCACCGCCAGCCGCTGTGGCCGCCGCCGCCTGAGCGTTGATCAGATGCTGCTCCTCATCGATGGCGTCCCTCTCGTCCTCCTGTTCTTCGGTGCGCTCGTCGTGCGCCGACTGTCGGCCGGTCTTCGGCCGAAACCTGACCCACACGTACATCGGGAACACCAACAGCGCCGACAACAGTATCTTCATCGACGGCGGCATCGAGAAGAAGCCCCAACTCATCTCCCGAAGGCGAATGTTGCCGAGGAATGTGTTGGTCAACCACTTCTGACAACACGGGTGGGCGAGAAACGTGCGCAGACGGGCGTTGGCCGCGATGTCGACCGCTGTCTTGTAGTTCCACTCGACGGGGTCTTCGCTGAGCACATCGTTCGCTCGGGACTCGTCCTGAGAGAAGCACAGGTCGAGAACGCCGATGGCGTAGTCGGCAAACAGTTTGGACGGATCCTTGAGTTCGGTCTTGAGGTTCTGTTCGCCGACGTACCACGAGAGCCGCTCCAACATCATCGACACTATTAGACCTGTTGTTGCGGTGATAGTTAGTCAAAGAATTAATGTGAGAGAGAGAGAGAGAGAGAGAGATCAGCCAAAAAACACAAACCCAAATGAATCGGTTGGTCGCAGTGTTTCCACAAAACTTTGGCCAACTTCTGCCGATTGCCGAACACAGCCCACATCGTCAGTATGAACAGCGCCTTACGCTCGGCGGACGCCACGTCGGCCGCCGGGTCCGGCTCTGAAGTGGTGGACGGATACATACCCATCACATTGAGCGCCAGTGTCTGCGATTGGACAAAATGGCGCAAATCAGTGCACGACTCGATCAGCCAATTGAGATCAATGTCCACAAACTCTTTGGTAAGTTTGGTGTCGTACGAGTGGCCCAACACTCCCTCCCAACACACGGAGCGGAAGAACTCGTGGCGATGGATGCGTTTGAAGAGATTGCGCAGCCGTTTGGGCGTCAAAAACTTGTGCACACGAAAGCCGTTTGTCATGAATAGGTCCACAAACTCTTCGCGGTCGGGTCGGGTGAGCGCCTGTTCAAACATGGCCTTCTCCAGCCGGAGTACGCACGACGGGTCGCGACTGATCACTTCGGTGGCCGCCACGTGCGGACAGTTCCAGTCCAGCGTCAGGTATAGGTCTTTGAGTAGTATATCGGTGTTGGAGAGGGACGGCTGCGTACGGCTACTGGAGTGTTGTGACTGAAACAGCGCCAGAAGCAGATACTCGGACAGGTTCTCCAGATTGCAGGCGGAGTTATGCATGTTTAGTACACTCAGGTATACGCAGCCGCCCTGTCTGGCCAGCCGTACGCACTCCAGTATACGATCCCTGAAGATATTTCTGGCCAGAGTGTTGCCCCGGAGACGCGGGAACCGATTGACAATCTTGTTGGAAGTACACTCAGGTATACGCAGCCGCCCTGTCTGGCCAGCCGTACGCACTCCAGTATACGATCCCTGAAGATATTTCTGGCCAGAGTGTTGCCCCGGAGACGCGGGAACCGATTGACAATCTTGTTGGAGAGCTCTGGCTTCAGAAAGGACTCGACGTACTCGGCGTCCCACGTGTCGGCCAAGTCTCGGCACCGTTGCTGTGTCTCCAGATAGGCGAAGGCCAGTAGGTCTGCGAGACCGCCCGACCCGCGCAACACAACCACCGGCTGTTGTCGTTTCAAGTGATCCAACACGAGTCGGGCGCAGTCGTAGCCGCCCTGTATGACGATCGACACGATCGGTATCTCTGTGTTGGTCAGTGAGCACAGGTCGGCGATTGTGGGCACGTAGTCGTCCGGTGATGTACGGCCTGTGTGTGTTTGGGATCAGCTATTAGTGACAATAAACATAATGCTGTAAATTGTGTGCTGATTAATGACCTGATTGGTCGAGCAGATCGATGGAGAACTCGCCGCGACCGCCAATTGTGGACAAGTACTGTACGATACGCAACGCGAACATATTGATCCCAGTCTTGGACACCGTGTTATCCCTCACCACCAGATAGTGCGAGTGATTGTCGTTGAGTTCGTACTTCTGTTCGTCCAATAGGTTGCCCTCGTTCTGGAGATTAACCGTTTCCTATCCAAACACAACAAAACAGATCTTAAGAGCACATCCAGAAGAATACAAGTGCTCACAAAACAACACTCACGCCATCAATGTTTTCGCCGTATCGGAGGTGATCTTCGCGCATAATGCCGACCACATTGACGCGCGGCGTGTGTCCGGTGGTGTTGGCCGCTGACGAGGAGGACCGGTAGGCTTTGGACTCTTTGACGGCCTGCTCTACGGCGTCGCCAATGAGACGGGCGGCGCCCATATTGACACCATTGGTGAAGATCCACATATTGGTCGAGTTGGCCGCCTGTAATAGGGAAGTATGTGTTTCATTAGTATTGGTGGTCAATAATTGAGATAATCAATACCTTCATGAGTCCCTTCTTGAAAGCGGCGATCTGTCGGGCGTTCGTCCAGTCCTGAAGGGGCGCCACATTGGATATGATGAGCGCTACTATACGGGGCGACTCCATCCGCCACTGCCTGTGCATTATGTACGCGATGTCCTCAATGTGCACGTCGTGCGACACTTTCAGATACGGGTGACCCTAACCGATGTGATACAGAGCGACAACATATGGCGGATCAGTTTCCAGAGTGACAACACTTGTATGCCATTGACTGTAACAATGAGTGTCTCTCACATACCTCTACACTGTAGGCGTAGTTCTTCCAGAAGTGACACTTTCCGTGCGATATAATGAACCGATTGTTGGCGAAGACATCGGTGGCCATCACACCACTCGCCTGACTCACCTGCCGGTCAACACCGGCCGGCTTTGTGAGCGTAGAGGTCGGCGCCACTGAACCATTAGTACCGCCGGTCTTAACGCTGTTTAGCCGACTCACAGGCGGCGCCTGCGGTTGCCGTACGTACAGCTCGTGCTCGTCCATCACCAGACCGAGTGTGGCCTCTGTTATCTGATCCGCTCGACGGGCGCGCGACAAGTGGGCAGCCGTGCGGATACGGTTCGTGAGGTTACGGAAGAGGCCGCGATTGGCTCCTCGTTGACGGCGATCGCTGGTGTCGGTGTCGGACGAATCGACTGTGTCTTCAGCCGCTGGTGGCGGCGGTGACGGACGGGTTAGTCGATGGTGTGGGTCGTCGGAGTCGTTGTTGCCCTCCATTGATGTGGTGACCACTGATGGCGATAGCGAAAGGCGGGTGCGGTGGACGGCGGCCAACGGGCGGACACATGATTGTCATCCGATTGTTTTCAGTCCATAAATAATGACAATTAAAATTTAAATTATAGTTAATATTAAATCCCGTTTAATATCACAAAACACATGTATATTATATATATTATGGTTAAGAATAACACAGAATATTCTGTGACTTTATTACTGAATGAATGGCTATTTTAAGGCTATAATAAACAGCATTTGTCGTACACTATGTATGTATGGGGTGTCTAAAGACCCCCCGGACTAACAATACACCCCCTATAGTGACCACAAGTTTTTTCACACACACCCCTCCCTATCAATATTGCTGTATATTTGCTGGTAAACCATGTATGACATAATCAGCAGCCATTGGTTAACATCAATGAGATCATCTGATGGTGATATAAATCATGATAAAACACACGTACAGTATATCCTATTGTAGTGTATGTGTAGTGTCTGTGGTATTAATGCTGTAATAATAGCTGTATTTGTTATGCCATTTGAAGGCCTTTATAGTCATTAACGGATTAATGCAACCAAACGTCTAATTAATGCCTGAAATAAATGCATGTAAAATAAAATACACGTGTAATTAAATTACATTTACTTTTACAATACATTTGCGTAAAAATAGTTTAAATTAAAAAACTTTTAAAACAAACATTTGCTTTGATTTGACGCCAAAACAAGTTTTTCAAAATAAATTAAATACAAAAACAATAAAAAAGTTTTGCAAAAACAAAACCAAAACCAAACTTACGGTTAAACGCCTATTACGGGCGGTGGGGGTCGGGGGGAGGGGGTGTGCAGAGGGACAAAACAAAACAAGCACACAAACTAAACTAAAACCACCAACGTGCTGTCGCAAAAACAACCGAGATCATTTTATAATACGATGACAATTAACTCGCGTCAAAAAAATTGCACAATTTTTGTGTGAAAATTCAAAACAAATACTTTTTTATTGTTGTGTTTACATAATAACCGTCCATATATTACGTCTACACAACCAAAAACTTATGCTTAACTTTCATTTGTTTTGGGGGTATTTTTGCACTCATAAGTTGTTTCCCACCCCCTCTCCACCCCATTGTGTAGATACCATGTATACTACGGGTGGGGCAATAAGTGTGGGGGTGTGTGGCCGCTAATCTAGCTCATTTTGCGTGCCATAAACCCACTAACTTCTAGTTGTAAATACAAAGGGTATTTAACTCGGGGTAGAAATAAATGAAACAAGTACAAATTGGTTTCAAAAAATGATTTCAAATGGTCGTTTTAATGTTTATTATCAACTTTAAACTCGTATTAATAATAATAATAGTCAATTTGTAATTACTTTCCGTTAAAATACTATATAATATAGTAATAAGAATAGAGATATCGCGGATGCAAACGATGGGAGAGAGAATTGAGAGATACAGACAAATACAGCAAAAAAATACAGTATTATATATATAAATGGGTCTATGAATCGGTTGCGGCCAACGGGTCGATGATCTGGTCGGCGGTATGTTTGGCCGCCGCCGTAGCCGTGGCTGCCATTGTCTCCACAGCCACAGCGGGTTCGTCGCAACGGCTATAGAACAGTATATACGCCCGACAATCGGTATCCTTAGGCGACTCGCGAGTGACCACATCGTCGTTATAGTAGAGCCATTGGTCGAGCCGTTGGTCCTTCACGTACGCGGTGTAGTGTCCGGTCTGTGCTGTGCCCGAGTGGCACACGAGGGCTGACAGCCGGTACAGCAGCGGACGCGTGGCGTTGGCCACCATCGGTGTCATGTCGAGCGGCGTATCGATCGGGTAGTGAACCGATTCGGACAGTTTGTGACACGTGTTGGCCACGAAGAGGAACCGTTTCAAGTAGACAATCAGCGTTTTGGGCGACGACATGATGTGCAGCGATTTGGTGGCCGCGCGCAGCACTTGACAGTCGCCGCAGAACCAGAGGTTATCGCCGTCGCCGTCGTTGAGACACTCGTTGGCGATGAACGCCTCCAGACAGGTCTCGAGATTCAACGGTCGCGGCTCGTCGAGGGAGGCGGTGGCCAGCGATTCGTGTTCCACCACTTCGGGCGCCGCAATCAGCGTCGTTGAGGGCTGTGGCAAAGGGTCCGCCGGCCAGTCGGTCACAGAAGGCGTGGGCGATGTGGAAGCCGTGATCATCAGCGGCGGCAGTGGTGACAGCAGCGACTCGAACGTCACGCACAGTGTGTCCGCTTCGGAGAGCACGACGTGGCCGTCGCGCGACACTTCGCAACCGTCGCAGGTCGAGCCCCACGTGCATCGGCAACAGCCTATTGGTCAGACATATAGAAAGGGTGGTAGGGGTTAGTGACTGTGTGTTTTACACTATGTCTTAATGAGTGTTATATACAACACATACCGATTCCGTTGCGTTCGGTAAACACCAGCCGATAGGTGTACTCCGGGTTCGGCACCCGTGAGTCGACGAGAGCGTACAGTGTGTTGGCGTCCATTTGTTGCGATACCCGTAAGAGTCGTACGCCGTATACGAGCCGCCCGTCCGCCCGGAACACCAGCGGTACGCAGAAGTTTCTATTGAGTCCATTAGAGACATTAGAGGTGTTAGCATTTGGCGGATCAATGAGTGACAATCAAAAGCACATACCGGTTGGCCAGCGGACGGCTTTCGGCGAACTGGCATTTGGTGACGTCTCGGGCGCACGAAAAGCACGTGAATGTCGTGAGCGGACAGTCGTTGGCGTAGTGTTTCATAGCGGTGTCCAGACAGGGCTCGCACACAACGCCCGGACACTTGGTGTGCGACAGCAGCGACCGAATCGGCTTGTCTTCGAGGCCTATGTATTGGTTAACACAACAAATCAGACAAAACACGTCATTAGTACATATCTGGAAGAATGTCTTCGACGGACAGACAAAAAAACACTTACAGATAACGCACTGAGCGCTGGTGTCGATACCGTCGGCCACCGTTTCCAGCGCTTCGTTGAGTTGGAATAGCGTTACGTCTGTCGGCGCCGCTGTGGGCAGGATATCGGCCGCAGCGCCGCCGCCGGTGTTCAGCGACAGCACGTCCTCCGAGTCGTCGACCAGACGGGCGACATGAGTGCCCCCGTCGTGAGTCTCGGCCACCACGAGCTCCGAGTCGGTCACAGCGTTGAGCGCCAGCTGTTCGCGCACCCGATGCTTGATCTGTACCACCGAATCGTATTTGTTCTCAACGGTGATCAGTAGGCGAGTGGTGGGGCCCGCGAGCGGAGTGTAGGCGACCACCAGTTGACGGTGGCGTACGATCGGCAACGGGAGGGCTAAGTACATGAACGCCTCGTACGTCTGGCTGATCCGGTGGCAGACGTCGCACACAATACGGCTACAGAGCTGGCCCTGAAACACGTCCTGAACGCACGACTTGTCGCCACCGATGGCCGTCGTGTCGTTGATAGTGACCGCCGATGACGGCTCGTCATCACCCGTACAACACTTGTCACTCACTTTAAGTCTTTTGTTTACATTCACTGTCACGTGATTACTGTTGCGGTGATTATCACTATTACTACTGTTGTGGTTGAGGTTGTGATTGTGGTTAGAGATACTGTTGAGATGATCGCCGCCGCTGTTGTTGATACCATCGGCGGTGTAGTCGTCGTCGTCGCAGTGGTGGCCGTTACGGGTGAGCAGCTGTTCGTGCAGTGCGTCCAACAGTAGCGCCAAAAACTCTTGGGCGTCGTGTTGGCGGCCGTCGGCCAACGCCTTGTGCCGGCGCGACATCGACTCGCGTATGCCTTCGGCCCGTATTAGCCCGCACTCTGTCTCCCGATAGGAGCGCAACAGCGATAGGAACTGATTGACGATCGAGTCTTCATCGCCACCACCGCCGCCGCCGCCGCCGCCGTCGACAACAACATCAGTGGCGGCGCTGACAGTGCTATCAGTGTTGACAGCGGTAGCGGTGATATCATTAATGGTAGTCTTGGAGGTGATGTCTAGATCAGATGGCGCTGTCAGTGTCTTCGGCGGGCGTTCACTGGGCGTCAAATGCTGGACAAAGTGCCGGTTGTTTAGCAAACACTGAAACACACAGTTCTGATAGCATGTGTTGCCCAGATTGGCCAGACCTACGCCCACAGTGTTCTGGTGCTGTTGACCACTGGTGCTGGTGGTGGTGGCGGACACGGGTCCGGGCAGTGCTATCACCGCCGGCCACGACAGACAGTCGTCGTCGTCGTCGAGCGTCGGCAGTGAGTGGTTGTTGTTGTCTTCGGCGCCGGTAAACGGCTGTAGGAGTAGGTCGTCGTCGATGATATCGGCGGCGGTGCCGCTGCCACTGATGGCGGAACCGTTGCCGCCGACACACGTGGCGGCAGTCATCACGTCTTTGTCGCCGCCGTAGCCGTCGATATCAGGCCAGTCGTCGACAGCGCCGTTGATGGCTGCGGAGGCAGTGGTGCCGGTCTTGAGACACGTGACACCCAATGGCGAAGACGACGACGAGGAGGAAGAGGAGGTGGATGTGGAGGGCGTGGATGAGGTGGTGGCGGACCCGCCAATGGGTGCGGTGGCTGTGGTGTCGGCCGACTCGTGGCTGATGTCAACAACGCATTGGACGCCAGCCATCACTGCATTACAACATCACTGCTTTGGAGTAGAGTTGACACATGTCATACTATACCGATACAAGTGTACGTGTTTTGGCTATATATTACCTGTCTATTGGCCAATATACATTTGGTTGTGATAGACTGTGTTGTAGTATATCTGGTAACGCTATCTGGATCAATTTAGTTGTAATAATTGTGCTAGCACACTCTGTTTTTGGTGATTTAATGCGAATGTGAACTCGTTGTAAGCCATGTGGCAATCCTATCCCTGCGATTGTCAGTGTGTTTGTAGCGATCGATACAATCGATATGGCATTGAAATGAGTGCTCGCTTTGCAATGCATTTACACTTTCACATCGATTATCGATTAGTTGTGTTGTCTGTATATAACAGTCTTTGTGGCCATAAATACCGTGTTTTCTCGGCTCAAGACTCGGCGATAGTGACCGATGCGGTGATAATAGCGCTCATACGACACAACCGACGCGTTTAAGTCTTGGGATCAACTGTCTGGTGATGACAATCGGGTGCTTATACTAATGGGCTGTCCATATAAGACGTTTTTTGTTGAGAAAAGTTATGCACACAATAAGTGCCCCCTTTTTGTATCATTAATTCAATATCTATTTTCAAATAAACTTAATTGCAATTAACAGTGGATTTAGTCATACAATCAAAGACTGTGTGTTTATATTACAATATAAAGCGCTTACGAGAAATGCTATACAGGGATCACCAAGCTTTGTTCCCATACCTGGGCGCTGACATTGTCATAACATGTGTGAGTTGCTGAGCAACACAATACAACTTTTGCTGTTTTCAATGGTTTTCAACAAAAGTTGTATTGTGTTGCTCAGCAACTCACACATGTTATGACAATGTCAGCGCCCAGGTATGGGAATAAAGCTTGGTGATCCCTGTACAAAAACATTGCGTTTAGTTTAACAATTGTTGCGATAAATAACGTGTCATTCAAATGAATGCATTGAAAAACACACACAAAAAAACTGTTGAAAAACTTTTTTGTTTGATTGCATTCAGCGTTTGATTTATACTTATTTGCCATCACTTTCATCGGATCCATACTCTTCATCACAATCACAGCCATCGCCACCACTTGTTATAACTCGAGGTATGACTCGCTTTTCATTGACATCAAAACCACACAAATCATGTTATTTTAGACAATGATTTGTGTCTTAAATGTCAGTTAACTTACAATTTATAAACTAATTGTCTGTTTTGTTGCCATAAATAGTGATGTCCGCCGCCAACGCCAACCCATTCCCGGTGTCCGACTCTCCCGCCCGGAACCCGTACGTCGAGGCAGAGGGACAGCACTTGGCCTATAAGAACGAAAAGCTCATCCCATGGATCATACGGGAAGCGGAGGCCAACGGACACGTACTCAGCGGTCATGTATTGACCGCCGAAGCGATAGTCGACGGCATAATTCGAGACAAACAGACCGACGGCGAGCAGAAGCCGCTGTTCGTGAGACCGCCGCCGGGACCGTATCGTACGGATCTCTTCCCGATGACCGGCGCCGACCACCCCTTCGCGCCGTTGAACTCGCCGGTGGGTCAGTACGCGTACATCGCGTTGTTGGCCAACATTGGCACCGATTTGGCCGCCATTCTTAGCGCCCAACAGCCGTACGTACCGAAGGCTATCAGTGTATCGAGTTTTAAAGTGCTTAGCGGTTCGGACTATAATAAGGCCATCCGTGTGGCCGCCTTTATGGCCGAGTATTGTGTCCAAGAGTGAGCTGAGTATGTGTTGTGGAGGCGGCAGTTGGCGGACGCGACTGCGGCGCCCGCCGGCAGCAGCTGTCGACCCGTTTGTGGCCGCGAATCAAGTGATCAACGATGAGATGTACAATGAGTTCGCTGTCGATGCGGACCCCGAGTAGAGTTTTCTGGTCACCAATTAGTCTATACTTAAGTGTGTTTTTAGGTATCATTTAATTGATTCCTGACATGAATTGAATTAATTTGAATTTATTTCTCCATTCAGTTATCGATTGTAATTGTAATAAATTATTACTAATTTACGAATTAATAACTTTAATTATTTGTAATGATTTTCAAATTGTAATGATTGATTAACACATTCATTAAATTTTAAATTTTGAATTTTGTGATTATTGAATACAAACAAAATTAGCGATAAATTTAAATGAAAATAATTATCAAAATGTTTTGTTTTAATTAAAAATTGATTTAAATGTTTTTGAAAATGTGTTTTTGATTACAAAATAAATGAATAACTCATTTGATATCATCTGTCGATATGAAAGCCATCCATGAATTGATCCAAACTATAGCCGTTGAGGGCTTATATTAAATCATCTATTGCATATTATATGTAATTAGTAAATACTCTATTCCAACATGGTGGATTCCGGGTCTGTCGAATACCTCCGAAGTGGCCGGACATTGATTATGTTTTTAAACTATTGTGTTTAATGATCACTAAACTATTTAAATAACATTATGGTAAAACATTTGTGTACAATTTAGTTTATATGACCAATGAGCTGATTATCGGTAAAAATGAGGTTCACCTAAAATGTCAGAGATGCAATATAATTTAGTAGATAACGTATAATATACATTAATCATTTATGAGATAAGGTTGTACCACCTAAGGCCCAGACAGCTTATGGAGGCTTCACCGGCCTGTAACTAATACAAAAATTTGATAACACAAAAATGATCACTAAACTATTTAAATAACATTATGGTAAAACATTTGTGTACAATTTAGTTTATATGACCAATGAGCTGATTATCGGTAAAAATGAGGTTCACCTAAAATGTCAGAGATGCAAATATTAAATCATCTATTGCATATTATATGTAATTAGTCTGACCAACATTATTAGGGATTTAATAGGAATACTACTAAATCATAATTAAATTAAACAAAACATTGTATAAAGTAAAAAGTATTCTAAACAGCGAGACAATAGTGGTGTTAATCCCCAGTACCGGCACCGCAACACACGGGCACCGGCTTTGGGTGAATTTGCCCTTCCATTTGCCGATCATTAAACCTGCGCCACTATTACCCTGGTCTAATGTTCAATAAAGCAAACATACATTATAATAATGCTGATAATAATTATGATGTGACAATTAATTGATCCATACTCTGGTGGGTCATGAAGTCGGCAAAGTTCCAGATGTGTTCGCCCACAAAGTAACCCTCGGCTATTAGCTTATCAAATGACTTGTGATACTCCATCATAAACTCCGACTCAAACTCCTCGGTAAACATAATTAATCAACATGACTGATAACTTATCAGTGATAAGGTTAAATAGTTATTTGTGCAATATTAAAACTTTCAAATGTTAGTTAAAAATAGTGAATATTGAAATTAGTTTAGCGAGAACAAACCGAGATCATGAGGGGTTTGGCAAACGTTTTATGCCATTGCCGTAAATTAGTGGTCAATTGCAAGTCAATCACTTGTGTGTAACCGGTGTCCGAATACCAGCCGTAATACCTATTGATCATCAATACGTCCAAAAACTGTGCCATTTTGTCATTATTGTAGTCATGATTAATGGCGGCCGTAATCGGACGGCTCTTATCCAGACTCCGGGCGTGAGCCGAGACAACCCGGAAATACTCTTCGGCCTCGGTAGGGGTAGTGAGAGGTGCGGAATGAGTTGGCGCCGATCCATTTGATTAGGTTCATGTCTTTAGCTATAAACGCCAGGTCCAATCCTTTGCCCTTTCCTTAATGGTTATGATAAATAAAAGTTGCAATTTATTTCATAATTAGTAAACTTAATATATAAAAGTGTTGACATAAACTATACATACGTTCGCGTCTTCGTGTTTACCAAAGCCTCGGAAGTAAAAGGGTTTACCATTAATGAGAACCTCCTTATCGGTGGCCCTAACCGTACGGATGCCGACTCTCTGGTAGTAAACATCGGCGGTCTTACCGCTGGCCACGAGAGACACGCGTAATGTATAGAGATATCTGGGGTTCGAGTTCGTGGTGTAGGGCCACCACAATATGGCGTTCGGTATAGTTATGGAACCCGAATAGCCTTTAGCTTCGGCTACTTTTTTGCCACTTTTGTCCATCACTTCCACAACACATTTAGCCGCCGATGTCGTCGATGTGGTCGACGGGGAGGGCGTATAGCGAGACGTGTCGGTGAATACCCGCGTAATTCATGAAATCAAAGTTAGTTGTGGTCTCATAGAAGCCTTTTGGGAACAGTTGTGTGTCGTTCTTGTAAGTGATGGTCCCCTGAGGGACAGTACTCGGCGTCAGTATGTTATTCAGGGCAACAGTTATGCGATTATTGGCCCCAAAGTTCAAGTGTTTGGTGACGTCCGCCGCGAAGGGTAAGTGTCCGCCGATATGTCGCACGACTTCCACTCCATTCACGTATACTATGGACTCGTAGTGAGCGCTACCGAAAGGGAGAGCAACTGAACGGCTCTGCAAATAGATTTCACTTAACGTCTCATAATATGATTGAATGCCAGATAAATACGTTAGCAAACCGCTAAGAGAGCTTTCCACACTAGTTTTGGTAACCTAAGTGACTACTTGACTTCTGATCTATACGGCATCCTAAACTATTCATTGTTAAAGTGAATAGAGATTCAAATGAAGAGATCATTGAAACACTGAAGAGTCGGATGAATGAAATGTTTGGCAAAAAAATTATTTTTAAAATTCAATTTAGAACTAATTTATTATAATCTCATGAATACTGACATAAAGTTATCACAAATTTTTAATTCATAGCAAACATTGAAATGTGAACTCAATTTAGAGGACTATTTGGTGTCAAACTCTTCACTACAACAGTAAAGAAGACAAAAACATTGAAAATTATGGCTTTTTTTTCAGAGACGACGGCTTTTTGGCCGATTGCGAGGCCTTCGGGTCTTTGGCCTCCACTTTGCGGCCAACAGAGGCTTTGGCTTCCGTCCACTCGGTTTGATTGCGTGCATCGATGGGCACATCATAGGGGTCTGTGATTGGCTCGTGTATGTCTTCGGTGAGGAATACCAGCTGTTCTAACCAGTGATCCTCACACCGTTTGGTGGTCTTCACGGCGGCGGCGATTATCTCATCGCTGCAACACTTTCTGTATTTAGCGCTGAGTTCGGGCGCGAAGTTAACCCATTTGTTGGATCCGTTGGCGACGGACTCTAAATCAGTCCAAATGTCGTCTAAGCGCTTGATTATAGCGCAGACGCCCTCAATATGGTTGCCGTCCGACCGCCGGTCCTCTCCTCCCGGATAGATGGGAGGGAACGGTTGCGGCACAAGTCGGCCACTCGGCGGCCAAATCAAGTCAATCGGACCGCCGGTTGACAGACCTCTCAATAGGTCTATCCAATGAAATATAGGCTTCAATTCATAACTAATGGTCGCCGCGCGGGCCAACACATGCGGCCGCAGTGTCCGCCACTTCCAGATGTAGTGCGGGTTGTGTTCAGTGAGCCGTAGGTAAGGGTTGACAGCCCTGAGGTTCGTCTTCGGAATATCAGTCATCGATGGTCACTGAAAGGCAACATAAAAACAGACAATTAGTTTATAATTCAATGTTTGAGAGAAAATGCGTGAAAACATTAAACGATGTCAATTAAGACATCGACGAGAAGTCTATTGTTGTCACTCTGGGAACCGATGGCTCGGGAAAGACATCACTTATTAACATAATTACCTGTTATTACAGTTGATCTCAAGATGTGATCAAAACCTGGATTTCAAACACTTGTCGTATAGTTAACTGTCAATTGAGAGACAAATCAATGATTAAAATGACATTATTTTTGATGCGTTTAAATGGCAATCAATTAAGTAAACCATACCTTAAGTCACGCAATGAGTAGTCAATGGAATGGTAGTAAAGAGCGGATCTAATAAGTGATCAATTGGTGGACAAAAAGTAGACACAAATCCCAAATCAAAGTAAAAAGTTTTTGTAACAGTTTTTTGGTGTGTTTTTCAATGCATTTGATTTGAATGTCACGTCATTTATGGCATAAAAGTATTGTTGCATTGAATTGAACGCAAGTTTTGTATTGCATTTCGTAAGCGATTATTGAGTTATGAAAACACAACACATATATAAACACACGCTTTGGTTGTATCACTAAATCCAGTGTTAATCACAATTAATACCACTTTTTTGGTCGCTATTTAAACACACGTTAAGTCTCTGAGAGAGCGATGCTTTCAAAACATGTACTCAACTGTGGTTTCAGTCAATGGTATTCACTCTTTGCCGACATCTCTATTGACAGGTATTTTGAAAACTAATTTATACTTAAATTAATTAAAACTACCGTTAAATCCATGGCATAGGCTTTGGATAATGTATTATCCGTTATAATGAACCCACGAATAGTGTATAAACTGCTTGTCTGACCACTAATTGTATTATTAATTAATTAAATGATTTATTTTTGTCTCAAATGTGCAGCAAATCAATGAAACTGAGCGACGATTTCATACAATACCTGTTAAGCGATGGCATTGTTTTGCCCAAAAGGTTTGGCCGCGAGATATACGCCCGAAATGCTGGCCATTCATTGGCCGACAATAACACTGTCTTTGGTTTTTGTACAGCGGATCCGATGGCAACGACGACGAGATCATTGAAGACCACGACTGGGGCGACGATAACGACCATCAAAACGGTTTCCCACGACTGCCAGACGGCGGCGGCGATGATAGCGATGGCCAGTCATCCGGAGCGGAGGCGGCGGCGCCGGAGTTCCCCGAAATGGACGCCTTTATGCGCTCGGCGTTGGACTCGTTGGGAGCGGTGTTCCCGAAGTTGAACTGGAGTTCATGTGAGGACAGCAGTTGGATGAGCGCCACCGGCACTCGATGTCTCACACCCGATGACGTCTACCTATTGCTCAAGAGCTCCGACCGTATTGTTCACGACTTGACACAACCGTATGTGTGCTTTGGATTGGGTTTTGTATTTTGGGATCAATTAATGACTATATTTTGTCAATAGGTTTAAGGACTGTACGGATGAGACGCCGCCCGTAGAGCACGAACTGGTGCTCAAGAAGTGGGTCGATATGAACCCGTCGATGGAGTTCCGGTGCTTTGTGGCCAATAATCAACTCATAGGTACCGCAGAGTTATGATTGACATACAGTATATATAAGTGTTTTGTCGGCCAATCGGCGCACAGGTATTACCCAACGGGACGTCCGGTCGTATTACGAGCACATCGGGCACCAGAAGGAGGACATCATTGGCGACATTCACCGCCTGTTTGTCACACGAATCCAGAATCAGTTCCCCGACAGAGACTGTAAACCTATTCATGTTTTTACCGCTTTTTAATCACTTAATAACGCATTCAATTCACAACTCAGTCGTTATGGATGTCTACCGACCGACGAGAGGACGGGTAGTGTTGGTCGACATGAATCCGTTCGGCGCGACCACTGATTCGTTGCTTTTCGATTGGGAAGAACTGTACACCAGACGGCTCGACATCATTACCACCGATGACGAGGTAATGACCAGTGATTATCAACTAATTGCTGACATTTAGTAACGCTTTGTCTACTCTATGGCTATAATTATAGACACCGATTGTACCTGAGTTTCGGTTCCTGACCAGCGGTGCCGGAGTTCAGCCGCAGAGGTATTCCATGAACTCATTGCCCATCGAAGCCCTTAACGGCTATAGTTTGGATCAATTCATGGATGGCTTTCATATCGACAGATGATAATCATTGAGTTATTCATTCAATTTGTAATCAAAAACACATTTTAATCACTTTTTAATTAAACACAAAATCTTTTGGTAATTATTTTTATTCAAATTTTATTTTTATTTAACGATTAATTCAATACAAGCCGTGAGTTCTGACCACAAAATACAGACAAAACATTCAAAATAATTAAATTAAAACTAAAAAAAGTTATAATCAATGAATTAGAAAATTATAATTATTATAATCGGCGGCCAATAGGATGCTTAGATTTGGGCGTCGAGTCGATTGGGCAAAATGCTCGGCTGATTGGACGAGGGCTCGATGGAAGTGCCCCTACGGATCTGTCCCCAACCAATCAGACTATAGGCACAAAAACAACAATTAATAAATCAATTTAAACCACAAATTCAGTGACTGAGAGATAGAGAAGAGAGAGAGAGAGAAACACGAGTACTGACCGCCAATGCCTGTCCACGCGTCGACTGAGCGCAATCTTCTCGCCGCTCTCCACACACACCGGTATGAAGAGTTGCACTTTAGCCAAGTCTGCCTTCACGGCCAGCACACGACCCCCGGTGGACAGGGAGCCGATGTTCAGCATCAGAACCTCGCCTTTGGCCAACTTCTGCACCTAAAAGTGGGCGCAAAAAACAAAACCAAACAATTAAAACACACCCAAAAACACAGTTCACTATAACGGGGGTTCGGGTGAGACATACTTTGGCCCCCTTTTTGTCGCCCTCCATACGGACGCCCAACAGTCGGCGCAACAGATAGTACGTGATCTCGAGTTCGGCGTAAATGTCGGGCAACGAGCCGACGGCGCCCAACACCTGACCGACCATACGGTCAGCTCTGGTAAGCATTGGATCAATTTTGGTGCCCACGCCTATGAGCCCTCCCGGGACGGCGTACTGCAGGTCGTTCTGGTCGGCGTACAGCGACGTGATCTTCGACAGTATGGGACAGCATATGATTTTACCCGAATCGTCCTTCGAGATCAGGCCGGGCCGCACCTCGATCTCCATCCCGACGGTGAGCACTCCCTCCAGTATCGAACCGCCGGCCACTCCTCCCTTGATGTCCTCCACTTCGCAGCCGGGTTTGTTCACATCGAACGATCGGATAACTGATCCAACAAACAGAAAATTAGTTTCAAGTGAGTGATAGTGAGAGTGAGTGATAGTGAGTGAGTGAGTGTGTGTGTGTGTGTGTGTGAGAGAGAGAGAGAGAGAGAGAGAGAGAGAGAGAGAGCACGTCTAGCGCTGTGTACCTATAAGTCTGGGCGGCTTCTGGAAGTCGCGCGTCGGAATCGGTATATTCTTCACCACATACTCGCACAGGACATCGATGTTATACTTCAACTGCGCGCTGATCGGGACAATGGGCGACCCCTCGGCCACAGTACCCTGAACAAACTTCTGGATCTGCAGATACTGTTCCCTCGCCTGCGACTCCTTCACCAAATCGATCTTATTCTGGAGTATAATCATGTGCTGCAAACGCATGATCTCGACGGCGGCCAAGTGTTCGCTGGTCTGCGGCTGCGGACACGTCTCGTTGGCGGCGATCAACACCAGTGCGGCGTCCATAACGGCGGCGCCGTTCAACATAGTGGCCATCAGAATGTCATGACCGGGACAGTCGACAAACGACACGTGTCTCAGCAGTCGATACTTTCCCTGACAGTCGGCGCGTTCGCAGCGGAAGTCGTCCTCTTTGTTAGACGGGGCCGAGCGGTAGCACACGGGTCGCGGGCACTGGTCGTTGTCGCACTTGTAGATCTTGGCGTTGGCGTAACCGAGTTTAATGGTAATGTTGCGCTCGAGTTCGTTCTTGAAGCGCACCGTTTGGACACCCGATATGGCCTTAACGATGGTGCTCTTGCCGTGGGCCACGTGACCAATGGTGCCGATGTTGATCGTGGCCTGACGTGAGATAACTTCCGGCGTTAACGGTGTCAACGATGACAAGTCCTATCAGTGCCGGGAGTAAAGCCATTGTTAGCATTGATTGGTTAGTTTTAGTTGTTGTGTTGCCAATGGATCTAATGTCTTAAACGCTGCCCACAGATCTAATACGGCTTAATAAACGTATTGTCTATTATATTGGACACCGTATGGCCCAACAGATAGTGATCACCACCACTGAGGAGGTAGTGGTGGTCAAACCGTGGCCTCAATTACAAACACAACTACACAGATAGCATATGACACGTGTAGTGCAATTGTGGTAACATTAATGGTAATGTGGTTTAAGACATTAGATCCACTCTCGCTTGTAGTACCAGTTTGGACAAGTCCTGTGTCTTGAGATGTGGCTGACCCGCCATAATTGTGGTCAGCGATTGTCTTCAGCGGTCTGTGAGATCTCTCTAAGTCTAAGATCACCGGCAGTTGTGGCGGTGTTTTGGGCGCCGGTATGTGTCAATACAGCAGCGGTGGTGCTAATGGTATGGTTGGTCTCAATACGTGGTCTATCGGGTGAACACGTGACCAAATTGTATGCACACAAAACAAAATACAAAACAAAACACAATTTAATTCACAATTGAATTAATAGTTTGACTCATTTTCTGATGCAATACATTGTGTTTGTGCCACACGTTTATTGTTAGTGGCGGTAGAGGTGTGTGCCGGCAGTTACCCAGTTGCATAATGCAACTTACATTAACCCATTTTTGTTGCTTAATTAATTTTCACTTGTATTCCCCTCCAATTAGCATGTATCATGATTAGCCTGGTAATAGTGAGCTTGATTTATTGTAGTTAAATATGGCGATGTTTATTATCTAGATGTTTTTTATCAATAGTTTATTTAACAATATGCTTTTAGCGCTGCCTGCCGACATCTCTACCGTAATCTAACAGGTAGATTTTTGCCATAGTTGATTGTAAAGTTAATTAAGTTAACACAGGTGCAAATTTTGTAAATAGTTTATTAATTATATATTCATATAATTATTTATTTATATATATTAATTTATAATCCAATAGAAAAGCTCCATGGTTATTTATGTATGTATTTGTATGGATATATACAAAAAACAATGTGTGTGGTATTTTTTGGTCTGTGCTTTATCAAGTGCAATTTAATTGTTACCATGATTTAATTATATGCGCCCAAATTGACCCCGGTCTTAGTTTTTATACAATTTGTTTTGTTAATTAAATGTATTATATTTTAATTGTATTTTTTCACACAAAATCAAATTTTTTTTAATTATTTATAAATTATTATCAAAAGTTTTTTTCACCAAAACTATTAGCGATTGTAATAGTTATTAGAATTATTAAATTAAAATTAATTTTTAATGTATTAAACTGTTTATAAATAGATTTTTGTTTTTTTAATTTGTAATGTAATTAGATTTACAATTAATTTGTTTTAATTAATTCCGTTTAAGTAATTAATTAACCGACTATTCAGAGGTTTTTGTTTAATTAAAACTTATCATAAGTTTTAAAAACAATTAATTTTAATTAATTTTACATTTGATTTAATTTAAATTTTGTTATTTATATTCTGTGTCTATAAATTAATCGATAATTAAAATTAAATAATAATTTATAAATAATAAAATTCAATGATTTCTCTGATCTACTGATAAATGAATGGCGAAATTAATAATTTCATAAAACACTTAATTTAATCATTAATTAAACAATAAAATTAAATAATAATAATAAACATAAAACTAAAAACTAAATAAACAATAAATAACACTATAATTGCTGTGAAATATTGTAATTATATTACATTTGTATAAATGAGATAAAAATTATGGCNATAACACTATAATTGCTGTGAAATATTGTAATTATATTACATTTGTATAAATGAGATAAAAATTATGGCATAAATATAACTGTATTACTGAAGCTCTTGGTCTTTATCTATCATTTACACACAGCCCATACCCTACAGAGAGGGGGTCGCGGGTGGGGCTAAACACCCTCTACCCCCTGCACCCAATTCACTAGTATATATCGATTGCATAACACTATAAACACTACAATTAAATCTTAATTTAGTTTTACAACAAAAAACTCAATGAATGACTATTTTCATTGAATTTCAATCATAATTATTTCAAACACTACTCCAATCATAACCACAATCACAATAGGGTTGGCCCAAAATGCAGTGTAATTTACACACAAATACACGCAAACAATAATTAATCCATTTGTCTGTACACTCGCTGTCCAGCCCTCCCGTTCCGCCCCCAGTCCTCGTAATCAAAATGTCTTGTTATGAATGTTAGGAATGTTGGCTATGTTTGCCATATTTGGCGGAATGTTTGGCCACCGGAACGACAATTGCGGCGGCGGTGGCGACTGTAGTCCACTGCCAACACCGGCTCCGCCACCACCACCGCCGGCTCCCCCGACCCCACCGGCGCCCATAGCGGCGGCAGCGGCCGCGGCGCTCATCATCTGACCCCTCTGGGCCACCGCCGCCGCCGCCATCATCTGAGGCACTATCTGCTGCTGTCGACTGTGATGGTGGCTGTGGTGGTGATGGCGGCCGCCGTCCTGATGGCCGCCAATACCGGCCGTAACGGCGGCCAACTGTTGCGATATCTGCGTGACCAGCGGTAGACCACCGGCGCCGCCGCCGCCCCTCTGCGACAAATCAAACGGATATTGCGGTGACTTCTGGGGCGACATAATAGGCGGCGGATGTTGTTGTTGTTGCGGCTGTTGTTGAGACTGTTGTTGCTGTTGCTGTGGCTGCAGGGCTTGCGGTGACTGTTGGAACTGCTGGTGATGTTGTTGTTGCTGCTGCTGATGGTGGTGTTGTTGTTGCTGTTGCTGCTCCTGATGCTGCTGTTGCTGAACCTGTTGTTGCTGCTGCTGCTGTTGGGCCACACGGCCCGGGGGTCGGCCCACTTGGGGCGCACCGACGGTCGCATTTTTCTTATGCACCGCCATATGTTTGCCCAACTTTTTCTTGGTATTAAAACTCTTGCCACAACCGGGCCATACGCACGGGTGCAACGTATCGGGACAGGTGTGCAACAACTTATGGCGACCCAAGTAAACGGCGCGCTTGAAACTGGCCCCACATCCGGGCCAATCGCAGCGCCAATCCTTGGCGTCCTCGTGGCTGGACATGTGTTGTGTCAACTCCTTGTTGTTGTAGAAAGACTTGTCACAGCCGGGCCACGCGCACCGGAACCCACGGGCGCCCGTATGCCGCAGTTTATGCTCCTTCAGATTGTTCCAGTATTTGGTCCGGAATTTGCATTCCTGCCAATCGCAGTAGTGATACACCGATTCGGACTCGT